GAATACGGGATGCCAATCTGGTAGAGTTGCGCAAAAAGCCACCATCTTAAACTTCAAAGGATCCAGAACAAGATCCTGAGAATGATCCTCAACAGTCCACCGCGGCCTAGAAACTTTGAGGTTCACCGCCTGGCTGGTCTTCAGACACTGGAGTTACGGAGAGCTGCCTCCATCGCAAGGTTCAGAGATTGCTGTAGGCGATCCGACCAACAGATCGTCAGGGATCTGGCACGTTAGGTTAAATTAGGTTAAGTAGGTAGAATAACAAATTAAAACATTCAAACAACATACTTCACAAGAAGAAAATTGAAAACCATTACACAGTAAAACACAACATGTACAACACAAAATCAAAAAGTTCACCAAAGATGAAGAGCCCTTCCGGTTAACCTCTTGCCCTGTATTAGCAATTGTAAACCACATAACAAATCAAAAATAAAGAAGAATTTTACTACTACGGAGGCAGTGATGCCACAGTTTTGTAGAATTTAATTCTGTATTCTCACGAAACATTTGAAAAGGGCCTATCCTCGTTGATCGATTATCTTCATCGACTTTCTCTTTGATTTACCACGGCAACATAAACGAATTTCTCGCTAAGCTCACAGGACAGTTCGACAGAAGATGAAGTTAGCTGTATAGTCGCTATATTCATAGCCTGGCGGAGAGAATCTCGGGAATCAATTGAGTTGTCAAATCACGACCAACAACAGAGAAGAGCACATCAGCTATTGCGAACAAAACTTCCGGAACCCGTTTTCTCGTGACTTAAGGCACACCTACGCAAACTAACACCATCTTTGGGCTGGGGAAAATTTCCCCTTTTCGATGATGTCGGTAATTTGCGTTCGATTGGCGAGGAAAGAATAATCAACGTTTTGTTTATAAAACTTGATAGTACCATTTCAATTGTTGGTCTACAATATATTGAATTGGTTCCGCTTTTTGATACATCGAAATTCTATCCGCCAGACTATAAATATAGCGACTTTAGTTGGCTTGCGCCTGAATCAACACACTAAGTGGGAAATTCATTTGCAGTCGAGTTATTTGCGAAAGAGAAAATCGATGAAGAGAATCGGGCTGATTGATTATTTAACTTTATTGATTCGTCAAATATTATTGCAATATAATCAGATTGTGCTTAAAGTATGTAGAGCACAATAAAGCAGATTAAGTATAAAGTCATAAAGTGATTTATATACACTCCGCACTACGTAAAACTCATATCAGCTCCACATAGATAAGCCACAACTATATCTTAAAATTATTGTCGTGTTAGGAAATAAACGTGAGGACATAAATCAATTGATTATTGAATTATGATTTGAACTCCAATTCAAACTAGCAATTGCTGTTCAATTGAGCAAACTGAGACCAATAAAAATAAAAATATCCATTAGGGCTTCGTATATCTATGGATAATATCAAAAACAAGATTATACTGTGTAACAAAGGTTCTGCCCGGTGGATCAATATGGGTTTTCTAAAGTTAAAGATAGTTCCTAGTGCCCAAAACTGGAGCATAATTGGCTCATTTACCGTATGCTAAAATTATCTTTAAAAAGCATCCAAAAACATTTTTCCCTGATAAATAATTACTGATAGAGTTCCACCAAGCTATTTTTAAGAACTTGTCCGCGTACTGTAACAGTAAGTTTATTCAATTATCTAAACTTCTACAGTGGAATTTTCGATCATCACCAGGGTATTTATCATATTATCACTTATATTGTAATTCGTTACTCGTAAGTGGGTCTATTAGAGTGATGCAAAATTTGAAATTTTCGCTTCAACAATACTTAAACGATTCCGGAAATCGGATCCTGACTAACCTCTCAAAATTTGAACCCATTTGGTGAGAAACTGAGATGGCACAAACCAATTGAAGTTTGTCTGGGAATTACTATGGTAAAACCAAGATTTTTGTTCATGTCTATCTACTAATTCACCATATCGGTCTGCTTCAAAATCTTTCAATAATTTTCCCAGCTACAACTTTGCTGAAGACCACTTTTTGATTAAATGCAAGGATCGAAAGTTATTAATGGTTCAATGCGCTGATTTTGGTGTTTCTGGGGCGTTGAATAGGACACAAAAATCATGGCTACTATGTCACACTGCAAAATACAGTGTTGCTTACAGAGCAGCTGCTTGATCTTGTCATAAGCTTACCAATCTCTTAAGTAATTAATAACTTTTTCCTGTCTCGTTTTACATAGAAACGATCTTCAGCAAAGTAGTAGCTGAGAAAATTTTCTATAAGAATGGCTATCGAACTGAAAAAGACTAGAAGGCAATGAACAAAAAGTTGAGATTTCCCATAGTAATTTACATGTAAACTTCTCTTGGCTTGTGCGAAGTCTGTTTCTAACCAAATGAGTTGTAACTTTGGGAGGCTAATCAGGACCCGATTTGAAACCATTTAAGCACTGTGGAGCGAAAAAGTCAAATTTTGCATCAGTCTAGTGTCTATTCACCCAATTTAGGAGCGAATAGAAACACCCAACATTTTATCCAATTAAATGAGGATTAAGTAATTCTTTTCTAATAACAGCATTAGCAATAATAGAGGAAGATGATACTTGATAATTGAAAGTCATTGAATTAAAGTTAGAGCCCAACGTTTTTTTTTTATACACCTTCAAATGTGTTGGAAAGCGTTTCTATTCGCCCCATTTTACGGTCACACGAAGTGTATCAATTTCGCTCATGCACCAATTACCGCACGCTGGGGGGGGGGGGGGGGGTATTCATGTCCTTGGGTCCAAAAGTGACCCCGTTGGCTTCGTATCACTCCAGGACAACATTTGAATAGTGGCACGAAGCTAGATCCGGCCAGAAAATCGTAGGACCCTCGTGTTGCTTCAAAAGAGGAAGTAGATGCTTCTGTAGACACTCCTTGAGGTAGATCTCCGCGTTTACAGTCCCGGTAGTCTCGAACGGTGCACTCCGTTTGCCACATGAGCAGGTCGCTTGCCAAATCATGTATTTCTTTGCAAACTTTGAAAGTTTCTGCTTCCTTACTTCCTCCGGTACATCAAACTTGTGCTGGGCGGTGAAGAACAGTAGCCCCGGAAGCTGCCGGAAGTCCGTCTTGACGTAAGTCTCATCATCCATGATGAAACAATGAGGCTTCGTCAGCATCTGGGTGTACAGTTTCCGGGCCCGTGACTTTCCCACCGTATTCTGCCGTTCGGCACGATTTGGAGCCTTCTGCACTTTGTACGCTCTCTGAACGATATACTTGGACAGATTCAACTTTTTAGCCACGTCCCTGACCGAAGCATTGGGATTCCGCTTGAACGCTTTCACGACACGCTTATGATCCTGATCACTAATAGAACATCCATTCTGACCGCATTTCTCCTTCCGTTCGATGCTCAAGGTTTTGTAGTAACGCTTAATTACACGACTCAGGGGTTGAAACAGTTGACGTTTTTAACTACACTTGCTTCGTTGTCGTGTGCGACAATCTGTTTGTATTCGTACACTCATGCTCTACCGTCGTCTCTCTCACATAAGACAACCGGTAGAATAACATGCGAGCAAAATGAAAATTATAAAATAACTATCATATGACATGTGTGATTTCGTTCTAATTCCTCAATTTGGTGTAAATTAAACCATTTCTGATCAGAAATGTTATTACTAGTAAATCGTTGCTTTCTATTTTCAGAATTCATACAAGCACAATATCAGCAGCTCTTATTATGAGCAAAACTAAAATACATACATTCGTGACGCTCTTCGGGGACAGAGACTGTCATATGACATTTTAGTTTGGTATTGTACTATGGTAGCTTGTTTTGCAAGTGTCGGAGGCAAGGGCAGTCGGCTATCACAGAAAATGTGTCGACTACCGTGACCGCTTACAAGACTACCCGTGGCCGGGCTTGCTGAAACTCATCAAACTCACTGGGGGTTTTAAAACACTCTTGTCCTGCGAGTTTAGCTTGCCCTCACCTCGAGTGAGTGGCGGCAGGAATATGGAAGAAGTAAACAAAAACTCCTCGAGAGAGAGGGAGAGTGAACTTCAGCGAGAGCATGATTTGACGTGAGGTGCGCTTTTCGAGACTCCGGATGACTTTTTTGTTCGACGCAAGGAGCTCAGAGTTCACCCAGAGTGAGAGTAAAGACCGGCGCACAATGGATACGTTTTCAGGTTTTTTGACAGTTAGCCCATGCAAAAAACCCGAAAACGTATGCATTGTGCGCCGGTCTTAAGATTGTGTGATAAAAAACATGAACATGAATGCCAGCAAACCTCACTCTCATTTTATCCCCCTCCGCTGACAAGCTCAGAAGCTCAGTGGAATGATTTGGCAGTAGACATTCTACTCCTCAGAAAACTGCTGTGGCATTGTGCTTGGCACACAATATGAATACGAAAATGATACAAGTTTAACTCTGTTGAGAGCAGGCGGATGGTTCCGGATGAAAAGCAATAGTCAATAAGAAGAAGAGTTAGACATGACCATCCAGATTCAGGAGTGTTACACATATTTGTTTAGTTCCTATCCAATTTTCAAATCTGAAATTCATACTCCAGCTAATTTTTTTTTTCTAGATCACAATCTGATTTGTAGGTTTTTCTGTGAATAATATCTGCTCATTGAACTTATCGTTTTTTGTTTGTTTATTACATCTACTGGTTCGTGGTACCAAATACCTCTCTAACGAGCAATAAATGCACTCCACACGCGTACACGAGCAGCCAATGCCAAAGCACCCCACGCACACCTATGCGTAGATACACACCCACACATACACACACACACATCCCGATACAAAACACCCGCAGTATCGCATGCCTTTTGATACTCATCTTCCTTCATGTATTATCGAAAAGCAGATAATCTCTACCATTCTCTATTGTTATTATCTACACCTTATTTCACCCATTCACCCACTTTCACCTACCCCACACAACCCCCTAACGAACCAACCAACCAACATCATCGTCGCGAACTCGTGCCACCGACACCACTACATTACAGTTACAGAATGCCTTGAAGGAGTTCGACTTCCTCCATCAGCACGACAGTAGTCTCAGTGAAAGTTTGCGGGGTCACCAGCAGCAGCAGGAGATGGCACCGCAATTTGCCAGCCAGTCCTACCCGGAACATCAGAGCAACTCCAACGGCAGCGAGCATGAGGATGACGATGTACCCCCGCCTGCCCTACCTGAATCACCCCCACCAACGAAGACGACGACGGCGATGATGATGGCCCTGCAGAAATCGCTCTCGGGAGATTTGCTCCGACCTGTCCTATCGATGCCTCCGGTTGTTCTGATGGGCGGTGGGGAAGTGGGCAACCGGGACAGTTACATTTCCTACACCACGGGCAGTCCGATCATTGAGGAACCGCCGTCTCCGGCGCCGGTAGTGGAGTATCCGTTCGAGGACTATGGCGTCTATTCGGTGTCAGTCAGCGAAGGTGACGGGACGTACGACGAAATTATCGAGGTCAGGTTCTTGCGCAAATATTGTCTTATGAGCATTTTTGTTTCTTCTTCTTCTTTGAACAAATTGAAAACAATAGCAACGTGTTGTATACTTATAATTGCATAGTCCTACCTATCTATCTCTATTTGCTGCGTAGCAATCTACCCGTGCAGGGGTTGATTGTTATCCTTTGATTAGCAACCATTTTGGTTTTGGCTTCGGTTTTCAGTGGTTTGGGTTTTACAAGTGTGCTATATTCAGTTGGTTTGGTGATTGCTAATTTTACCAGATACTTTCCGCACTAACAAACACTGAGAAAACAGTACTAGTATGATATTGTTTCGTTAAGCATTCGTGTGGTAGTGTTTAAGATCGACTGCATGCCCTAACTAACAATTGCATGATTCTTAATTTTAAGGTATAGGTATTCTCAATCTACGAACATTCTCTCAGATTTGTCCCCAATTTTCAATGTCATTTACAATGCCTTCTCTAGATGATTTCCAGCCCACGTAAGCCAACATTACCATCGGGTAGGGGAAGACCCGATCGTTATGTTGGGGGAAGGATAACGGCAGTGTTCAAGTTGCTTTTCTCTGAGTTGTAAGTTATAATATTCTGATTAAACACTCGCCTTCGTTAAGAAATATGGGTCGTATTAGGGAAATATAGGTTTATTTTTGGAGTGAGCGGTAAAGGGAAACAAAAATATTCTTTTCGACCATAAAATTAGTGAAATAATTGTGCTGATGGTTAAATATGATTAATACGATTGAATTAGTCGGTTAAGCACACTCATTATTTATTGTTTCAATGATTCATCTGACATATGGTTGTCTTAATGAATTAAAAATGTATAATTAAAACAAAAACAGGGCACGTTCTAATTTTTTTTAACTAGTTTGTTTATTTGTAAGGCTCAATTGCGTTAGCTTTACGGAGCCGATAGCTCATTGTTCTTTGTTTGCAACAAAATTCCCTTAATTCTATGTCTAGAAGGAGTTGGGCTGAATACTCACGGCTTACTCGAGGTTAGAGGGGTACATTGTCGAAGGATAGGATCAGGGGAGAAGCTTGGGGGTAAGGTTTCGTTGTCTCATCAGAGCGTTGTCGCCAGTATGAACGGTAGTGCGGTTCTAGTTTTGTCTGGAGTTCGACCGGCTATGATGACCAGTGGACGACGATGAGACATTGCCAAACTGCGTGATCGATGTCATCGTAACCGTTTCCACACCGACAGATGTTGCTGTCCACGAGGTTTATTCTATTGAGATGCCTACTCATCATGTGAATGAAGTCACGACTTAAGCTCAAGCGTTTAAACCACGATCTCGAAGAAACATTAGGAATAATTGAATGTAACCACCGTCCAAGATTTCCAGTGTCCCAATCGGTTTGTCAACTCGAAAGGGTACTGTGACGCACTAAATGGTAAAATTCATTGTGTGCCTTCCTGCGCGCCCACCTTTGCGAGGGAGTCCGCCTTCTCATCGCCTGGGATTGAGCAATGTGAGGGGACCCATGCAAAGGCAGTCATATATGATGTTTCGACCAGCACACTCATCTGCTCCCTTACGTTTGAAAGGAAATAAGATGAGTGCCTACCTTGTTTCATCGATCGAATAGCCTCAATCGAACTGAGACTATCCGAGAAGATGAAGTAATGGTCTATGGGCATATCGGAAATCATCCCCAATGCGAAGTTGATTGCTGCTAGCTCAGCAACATAAACGGAACAAGGTTCCTGAAGTTTCCGAAAGGCGGTTGAGTTTTCATTGAAGACACCGAAGCCAGTGGATCCATTGAGACGTGACCCGTCTGTAAAATATATTTTCCCGCAATTGACGTGTTGGTACTTTTCAGTAAAAATACGTGGGATCACTAGCGTGCACAGGAATCTTGTTAAGGAGGGGCATTTTTTTCTATGGTGCATTCAACCTGGGTATGGGAAGTACTCCAAAGTGCGTGGTGGATGGTGCACCCACCACTGTTTTCCTACGGTTCAATTTAGCTAATTTTAATTATTTTTTGCTCTGGTGGTGGTTCATCTTCTTCAATGCAAACTGCTTTCAGACAGTCAATGGAAATTGTCAATTTAATCCCATCGACGATGTGGATAATGATCGGTTCGTTAAATAGTTGCGATAGTAGGCCTTTAACCGAAATGATACATTTGCTGCAATATTGTTGCCTTGGTGGTTGGATTCAGTTGAAGTCACGTCAGATGGTGGTAATAGCACCGACAAACCGACATGAATGACCAATAAGAATCGCATTCTCCTTTCGCATGTAAACAGTGCGCATAGCAGTAAACAAACAAAGTTCATGGTTTGAAAAAAATTCCACGCTTCCATACTACCAACATGGGTATCACCGCGATTTTGTTTGCCCAGCAAACTCGGTCGCTGTCTTCCAATTTCTGAACCCTGTAGGAATCGGATCGTTCGAAAAGACCGGCAGCGAAATGTTTGATTGTGTAGAATTGGTTCTGAAAATCCAGAATAACATTTAAAATAGTTTTTGAAGTTTCTACAATTTCTTGGGAGTTACATAAAGTTACAGTTCGAATAATATTTTGATAGAAAAATGTTGCAATAATTTTTTGCATCATGCTCTTCCTTACAGGTTAAAATATAAACCAAAGAAAATATATTCTTCAGAACACCTTGGAACTGAAATTCCCTTACAGTTTCAGAAGAATTTCCTCAGTATTATCCAGAAATTATTCCCGGAATTAGCTATAAATTATCGGTACTCTTTTGAATTTGCCTCAAAATCCCTTTGGAATTTCACTCAAAATTTAATTTTCTCGGTATTCTTTTTGGAATTATCTTGGAACTATCTGCAGGATTCACTAGAAATTATTCGCAGAATTTTCATGGAATACTCCCCAGAAATCCCTTGGAGCTGTCCTCAGAAATCAATATCCTTGCGGTTCTTCTCGGATTTTTTAGAACTCTCCTAAGAGTACTTTTTAAATTCTTCTCAGAGATCCACTGGAATTATATTTAGAACTCTTCACTTTTCACAGAACACTTTGGAACTGAAATTCTTTTAGAGTTTCAGAAATTTTTCCTGGAATGAACTAGAAATTATCCTCGGAATTCGCTTGACATTTTGGTTAAAATCCCTTTGGAATCTCACTCAAAATTTTCACGGTATTCTTTTCAAAATTTTCTTGGAACTATCTTCAGGATTCACTTGAAATTATTCGCAGAATATTCATGGAATCATCCCCAAAAATCTTTTATTTCGGAACTGTCCTCAGAATTCAATACCCTTGAGCTTCTTCTCGAAATTCAAGTTTAAGTTGTTCGTCCATTCACCAAAACGTTGTAGTTTTTCTACCAGAAATGTTCAATAAAGCTTGCCCCTCCATTCACCAGAACTGTGCAATTTTTACATCAGGATTTTTCAATTCAGCTTGCCCCTCCAGACAGCAGATTGTTGCAAATCTTACACCATAAATTTTCAATACAAACTCTTGCCCTCAGGAGATTTTACACCAGAAAATTTCAATTGACCAGAACGATGCAAGTTTTCCACCGTTAATGTTCAGTAATAATTGTTCTCCAATCTTCTGATTGGTGCAGATTTCCTTTTTCCATTTTCCACCAGACATTTTCAATATAGGTTGCTTCTCCTATCATTTGTTGCAGGTTTTTCACCAAATAAAGCTGCCTTTATTTTTAGAATTTTTTCATAAATTTTCAGTATTATCAGAATGGTGCAAATTTTACACCAGAAATTATTATCAAAGTTTGTTCCTCTATTCAGCAGAAGGATGCAAATTTAAGACCAAAAAATTTCCGAAAAGCTTGTCCATCCGTTCACCAGAACGGTGCAGATTTTCCACCAGAAATTTTCAATACAGCTTAATTTTAAATAAAGCTTGTGCCTTCATTAACCAGACCAGTGCAAGTTTTCCACCAGAAATATTCTGTTCTTTTAATTTATCAGAGCGATACAAATTTTGCACCAGAAATTTTCAATAAAGCATGCTCCTCCAGAAGGGTGCACCAAAAATTGTTTCACCATGCACCTTTATGGTGCAATTTTCAGGCTTTGCCTCTTCATGCACCGAAATGGTGCGAATTTTCCGCCATAAATTTTCAATGAAGCTTGCATTCATCAGAACGATTCAAGTTATGAGCCAGAAAAATGAATAAACCTTGCTTCTACATTCACCACAGTTTTGCGAACTTTTCACCAGAAATTTTCAGTTAAATGTGCACCTCCTAATTTTTAGCGTGATTCAATTTTTCCACCAGAGTTATTCATTTATGTTATATCATAATTTTGTAAGTGTGGTTATATCATAATTTTGTAAGTGTAGAAATAAAAATCTTGTTTATAAACGGGGGGCAATTGCCCCACCTTGACCCACCCTGTGCACGCCAGTATAATAATAGTTCGAAGTTGATCTGGAATCCCATGAATTACTTGTTTCATGGACAGATCATATTCAATTGAGGAACTGCTAATGGTGAAGTGAGCGCGGTCTGGAGTATACCAAGAAAAACACATATCCGAAGATATTCTCATAAATCGAAATTGTGTGTTTATCCCAAGAATTTCTTCAAAATTTGCAATAATAATTGCGTTAGTCACTCCGGATTTGATTAGTATCCTGAGAGAGAGAGAGAGAGAGAGAGAGAGATCTCCCAGAAACGGTTCTGGAGAGGTGTTACTCCTGCCAGAACCTCGAGACTGATGTTATGCGTTGAGTGCATACAGCCAAGAGCAATACGCAGACAACGACATTGAATTCGTTCCAATTTTTATTAGGTGACAATTTCTTGTCGAGAGAAAGCAGAAAGAGCCGTACTCTAGAACAGAGAGAATTGTTGTTTTATAAAGCGTTATGAGGTAATTTCAAATACGTAATATAGGTATTCCAAGTGCACTTTGAATCAAACCAGACCCCAAGGTACTTGAAAGACTGTAGCATTAAGATTAAGCTGCATTTAAGCTGGGTACCGCTTTCGAGTAAACACTACCAGTTTAGTTTTCTGCGGCGA